TTTTGAGAAAGCTGCCAACATTTCCTTATCGATGGTTCACTTTCTAAAAAGGCCATTTATTTCTCTCTAGAATGATGTACAATAGAGCGTTCTTGCTCATTTTGCCGCCGAGATATGAGCAAAAACAGGACGAAAAACATGAAATTTTGGCATAATCTTGAACCTAAGTGTTTCATATGCAAATTTCGCTTTCTGGGTCAAAACTAGTCGAATTTCCTCACTCACTTTGTTACGACTGAATGGACTTTTCAATTCTCGATAAAACGATGCCAAAACGAATTCTGTGACTCGAATGGTTCTTGAGAAACTTCGAATAAAGGCCATTTAGTTATCTCTGAAATGATGTAAAAACGAGCGTTTTTGCTCATTTTGCTTCCGAGAAACATGCAAAACGGGACGGAAAACATGAAATTTTGCAATAATTTTTTGCTTTCGAGTAAATAGAGCAGAAAACCCTGTTCTATTAGCAGGGAGAGTTTCTCAAATCCAGGCGAACTTTCAGGACTCAACAACCAGGGGCTGCTTCTTAAAAATTTCTGGCGTCGCCAAAAATTACAATTTTTTTATTGAAGAGCCTCCAACTCCGCCAATGTAAAATAATGAAAATAATACGCTGTAGAGGCTGAAAGTTTCAGAACCTCGACCATCACCAGGGATATTTTTGACCCTTTTTAAGTTTGAGTCGACTGTTGCTACCTACATTTGTGACAACACTTGCTAAAAAATTGAGCAGTTAATAAAGCATTCAATTCGGCAATTTTTGCGTTAAATCACGAAAATCATCGGGCAATTTTTGTAAATTTATGGCAAATTTTACCGATTTTTGCACTAATGGGGTCAAAGAACAGTCGATAATGCTGCAAGTTTACGCAACACAACCATGATCAGGCAACAAAAAACTCCTCCCATTCCGCTGATGACGTGCAAGTGAATAGGAAGATTTGCACGGATAGCCTGCAAAAGACAAAATTTCGAATGCTTCCAGACTTTATGAACACCTACGGCTTTGACGGCTTCGACTTGGACTGGGAGTATCCAGGGGCGGCCGATCGGGGCGGCAAATTCTCGGACAAAAACGTCTTCCTCTACTTCGTGCAGGAACTGCGGCGGGCGTTCGACAAAGAGGGCAAAGGCTGGGAAATCACCATGGCGGTGCCAGTTGCCAAGTTTCGCCTGGATGAAGGCTACCACGTGCCAGAACTATGCGAGTAAGCAAACTGGCTGAATCAATCGGACTCAGCTTATGAGGAAACTTGAAATGCTTCAGAACGCTGGACGCCATCCATGTGATGACCTACGATCTGAGAGGAAACTGGGCTGGATTCGCCGATACTCACAGTGCCTTGTACAAGAGACCGCACGATCAGTGGGCCTACGAAAAACTCAATGTGGTAAGTGCATGCGTGTTTGAAAAGCGTTTGCTCAGCGTCTGAGCGCTGTGTAGAACGATGGTCTGTTGCTGTGGGTGAACTACGGCTGTCCACCCAAGAAACTCATCGTGGGCGTGCCGTTTTATGGGCGAAGTTTCACTCTCAGCCAGGGAAACAACAACTACAACTTAGGAACCTACATTAACAAGGAGGCCGGAGGTGGAAGCCCTGGACCCTACACGAACGCCACTGGCATGCTCGCCTACTACGAGGTGGGTGCATAATTTTAAAGTAGTTTCAAGCTCTGGGGGTGTTTTAGGAGTACAGAAAAAACAGACAAAAAATTAATCCTTATGAAAAACTGGGATATTTGCATCTAGACTAGATCAGAAGGCTGGCAACACCGTTTTTCAAGATAATCTGCTGTAAACACCTGTTGCTTCTAGAAATTTTCGAAAAACGTTGTTTCAATATGCAAGGTGTCTTAGTTTATTTAACGAAAAAAACTCTGCATAGATCTGTGAAGAGGTGGACAACAAAGAGGGCAGCTGGATCAAGCAATGGGACGAAGCCGGAATGGTTCCCTACGCCTACAAAGGTAATTGATTGTTAAAAGCATCCTTTAAAGCTAGATTTTTAACACGGATTAACCTGGAAGGCACCCAATGGGTCGGATATGAGGACCCGGAAAGTATCCAGATCAAAATGGACTTCATCAAGTCCAAAGGGTATGGAGGCGCCATGACCTGGTCAGTGGATATGGACGATTTCCAGGGCATTTGCGGTCCGAAGAACGTGCTTCTTCACATTTTGCATGCCAACATGAAGGGCTACACTGTGCCAGACCCAACCATAACCACTTCTCCCAGGGTAAGAACCCCATTGTTATTTGTGAGTTTTTGGGGCATTAATGTGTAATTGCAGCCTCAAAATTCCCATAAATTTTCTATTAAAGTCAGGTTTTCCTCATTTAAAGCCGCAAATTTTCTCTTTCGATTGATGCTCTGGGCAGGCTTGAGAGATTTTTGGTTTTCTCTTGACAATTTTCTAAAATCCATCTCTGTATACCAACGGTCAGTCGCTTGGTCTTGGTAACTGAAAACAACCTGGAAACTCCCAGAAAATTCCTAATCAAGTGAGTTTTTCCTCACTTAAAGCAGCGGGTTTTCTCTTTCGAACGATGTTATGGGATGCATTGAGGAAGTTTTGATTTTCCTTTGGCGAATTTTTGAAAAATCCGGGTTGTCCAACGACCAATCGCTTCGATTTAGTAACTAAAAAAATTCTGAAAACTTCCAGAAATTTTCTATTAAAGTGAGGTTTTCCTCATTTAAAACAGATGATTTTCTCTTTCGATTGATGTTCTGGGCACGTTTGAGAGATTTTTGGTTTTTCCTTGACAAATTCTTAAAAATCTGTCTGTTTATACCAACGGCCAATCGCTTTCCCTCAGTAACTGAAAACATCTGGATATTCTCGGAAATTTCGTAATCAAGTGAGTTTTTCCTCACTTAAAGCAGCGT